TTAGGGCTTTGTGGGAAGGGGGAAGCTCCAGGGCAGGCCACACTTGGCAGTGCTGGAAATAGCAAGGCAAAGAGCAGCCGGGAGGGTGGGAGCAGTTGCAAGAGCACGCTGCAAAGCACCTGTGCTACCTGCACAGCACCAGTGCATGGAGCCACTGCTGCAGACTCAGTCCCCCCAGTGTTGCTGCCTTCCCTACTTGCACCCCCCAGCATACCGGGACAAACCAGGTGATCCTCAGGAAGCGCCTGCATAAACGGAGAGATCAGAATACACCAAAACCATCTGAAAAGCATCAAGCCTCTCTCTGCGGTCTGCTTTCCATTCAGGGAGGTTGCTGCCAGGTGACATGGACCCACTGGTATGTGAGTCTGTGGCTATGAGGCCAGAGGTGGCCTGGGAATCCTCCTCTGTGATCTCCCCTTCCCAAACAGCCTGACCCTCCCTGCAGCACAGGGATGCTGTGGGTGTGCAGTGAGAGGCGATGCAGCAGGGAGCATCTGCCCTGCATCCAATAGCACCTCTGGCAGCTGTGGCCGGTGTCCAGGCACCACAGTCAGTGCTGTCTGTGTGTTCCCCATGCCAGGGCTCAGCCCAAGGTCCCCAGCAGCCCCACTGGGGCAGCGTGATGTCCCATCACCAGCTGAGCCCTGTCTCAAACAGGAGTTGGAAGTGCTGTGGATCTGTTACACCCTGATCCCTCCCCCCAAGGCAGTTTGAGCTTCCCATCATTGAAGCGGGTTACACTGGTACTTTCTATATGGAGTCCCCGTTCCATGGAGTGGAGCACACTTGGGGTGCCACCCTGGCCATGCCACCCGGTGGGCTGGCTCCTGCACCGGGGTCCACAGTGCACTCCAGCATCCACCCTCCTGCAGCCACAGCTCAGGGCACAGCCCTTGCGAACACCCCAGCAGCTGCTTCGGACCCGAGTGGGATGCGGCCAAGGGTGAGTTAATAAACCTGACAGAGAGCTCCTTTACATTAAATAATTAAAATAACGTATCCAGGCCTGACGGACATCCAAAAACATCAGAGCTTTGCGGCTTTAATGAAGTTTCCAGATCTGGAGGCTCCCAGGCAAAATCCTGCCAATCCTACTCCCTACCAGCCGGCCCTTGGGAGCAGAGCCTGCATGTCCTTGGTTCCTGTGTCCCCGTGGGCACTAACACTCACAGGTTGGTGTCTTCTCCCCACTGCAGGCAAGGGTGAAGATGCTCCCAGCAAAGCCCTTCCCAGCCCAGATGCTTTTGGTGCATCACAGTGCAAGCTGGAGGGGAGCGTGGTGGTTCCCCCAAGCCCCATGCAATGGGGATGGTGCAGCTCCGTTCTACCTGTGCCCATGGTACACCCCCTCTGCAGCAGCCTCAGGACCTACATGGGTAGGTGCACTGGGGGACATCCCATGGGTCAGACAGGGTTTGCCCCACCAGATCCTGCTGTGGGTGTTCCTGATTCTGTGACAGGTCCCCGTCTGGGTCCACTGGAGCAGCCCTGGAGATGGGGACAACCTGCTGTGCTCCCGCTCCCCGGCCGGGTGCTGGATTACAGGAACCTGCTAAAGTGCTTTTCTCCTTCTCTGGCAGGTCCGAGCAAGTTTGGCTCTTACAGTTTTACCCTTTGGGCATCAGGGACCAGCGAAGCTGTTTAAAATTAAAAGTGTTATTTAATTCACACTGGGATCAAAGCATGCAGAGAAAGATGATTTTCAAACCAGCAAACCACATATAAGCACGTCTGTCACACCCAAAGGCCCACTCCCCCCACCCTGACCCTGATCCAAATCGGCCCCTGCTTGCTCCTACAGACGTCCTGGCATGGTCCCTGTGGCTCAGGCTGCGCCCCAAGCACCTTGGAACCAGCCCGTTGGTTTTGATCTCCTCGGCCCACCTTGTCTCTCACCCCTTACATGTCAGCCAAGAAGTCCATTCTCCACCCCCTCTTGTTCCTTGGCCTCATTTTTCCTTCAAGACCCCATAAACCTGACATCCCTGCATGCGATAACCATGCATTCCAGCATCCACAGCCCCTGATGGGACAACCTGGATTGGTAGAGGGTTGGAACTCAATGATCTTTCAGGTCCTGTCCAACCCAAACCATTCTCTGATTCTACAATGCAGCCTTTATACATCTCAGGCCGAGCTTTGACTCTGCCATCCTCTCCTAGAAAACTGTTGGATGAGCTAGAGGGAAGCTGGCCTTGCTCCCCTCCTCTGGATGGTTTTCCCTTTCCCTTTCCTGGAGGATGCTCATTCCTGCCAGCGTTCTCTAGGTTGCTAAGAGCCTTCCTCTGACTCTGGAGACCAGTGAGGCCGTGGTGCACCAGCCTCCACACCACCACACCAATCCCCTGGGATCCACAGGGAAGCGGCACCCAGAAGCTGTAGCCTCTGCCTGGGACCTCACGCACTCCTGCATCACCTTGAGCACAGCCTCACCAGGAAGCAACCCCTTCCCCATCTTCCTGCTCCATCTCCAGTCCTCATCATTCCTCCCATGTCCTGCATCCTGCATCCCAGATCCAAACCAGCAATGAGGATGTCACTACCATTCCCCAGGACCTTTCTTCTTCAGCCGTCCCTGAGCTGGCTCCATGCCACCCGCTATCCTGCGCTGCAAAGTGGTGTCCAAAGTCCAGCAAAATCAGAAACACTGGCTCCAGGCTGAGCAAGGCGGTTGAAGAAACTCACCAAGCGTTTCCCATCCACATCCCGTTTCTCATTCCTAACGTATGGTGCTGCCTGCTACTTCACAGCAATGCAAAGTGCCATATGAAAGCTGGTTATAAAGAGCAAAAGCAATGACTGTGGTGGAGCCCATTTTGGAGCCAGCGAACGCACCATCTGCTAAGGATTTATTACCATCCCAATTCCTAAAATGACTTTTTAATAATTTATCACATGAAGGTACATTGAGAAATGACTAAATAATTATCAGTGCCTAGATGGGATGAACATCCCTGTCCTGAGCCATCTGTGAACGGCTTCCACAGGCTCTGATGGCTCCTGGTGCAGGCACAGCCCCTCGAGCTCCTGTAGGGGACGGGACCAATGGGCACACTGAGCTTGGGGCGATGCTGGTGGTATCAGGGGAGCCTCCAGCTTCAGGGTCAGAGCCACAGAATCATACAGGTTGGAAAAGACCTCTTCTCAGATCATCAAGTCCAACTGTATCCATTGAGTATCCAACCATAGCCATCCATATGAACCCCAAGTCCCTCAAGTCAGAGGAGCCTTGTGAGATGCTGCAAGTATCAGACAAAAATCTGTGCACTCTTAATGCTGACCAAAACAAACCCGACAGCTCCCTCTGACACCAGCAGGAAAAGCCACTGATGAAGTGAGTCAGCTAACTTGCCCCAGATCTCTTCAGACCAGGCTGGGATTTCAAAAGACAACCTGGGGCAGCAAAAAAGCACACAGGAGACAGCCGGGTTTCCATAGGAAAAAAACCCTTTTATTTAACAATATATCAGGTTCCATCACGGCTCCATGGAGTTCAGATGCCACAGAGCTGGTTACCGATGCCGATGATATGCTACTGGGCGGGAGAGCTGGAGAGAAGGTGAAAGGAATCAAAAGGAGGAACATGACACGAAGAAAGAAAACTCTGCAGAGCCGGGAGCGCGGCCGCTGGGACCCACCGGGAGCCAAGGACAATCAACCAGCGCGGGAATGCCAAGCCCTGCTCTGTGACATGGCCCCTGCAAGCAGCTTGGAGACCGGCCATCCCCCAGGTAGGTTATGGCACAGAGGGTCCTCATCTCCTCCAGATCAGATACACAGCCAAAGCCCTGCATGGCCAAGCCATGTGGTACCCAAACCGCTCCTGCTGCTCGCCAGTGGCATTCCCAGCCCTGGGCCAAAGCCCCAGTCCCGCATGCCCTGCACCAGCAGTGGGCCCGGCCACACCTGAGCTCCAAGTTCAAATCCACCTCTTGACTAACGGCAGCAGAGGGAAAATGTGTCAGCCTGGATGCTCCAGTGGTGCCGGCACCATGGCAAAGGCAGCAGCCCCGCGGCTGGTTGATGGTGTCATGGATGCAGGGCTGCCCGGGAACATTGGGACTTTGCCCCATTGGGATGCAGGACCAGGGTGAGGGCGCGGATGCGACGGCATGGGATGTAGATGTGGTCACAGCTCTGAAATGTGGGAGTGCGCGGTGCGGGTGTGCTGGTGCGCGGTGCAGCCCGGAGGGAGGGCGAGAGGACAGGAGGTACCAAGCCTGCTCCAAACCACCTCACTCTCCTATAATGCAGATTCACGGGCATTCCAATGAGGAAGTGTGACTGCAGGAGCTCCCTGCTGCCTTCTGGCTGCCCCTGGGGAAGTGCCAGCATGCCGGTGACACCAGAAATGGCTTTCATGGGCATGGACACCTCCCCAAGCGCAAGGACCCTTGGCACTGTCCCATACAAAACATGGGCTCTGCTGAAGAGGAACAAGCCACCCCAGCCCAGGCACCAAACAGAGATCGGGCTGTGGTGTGCTTGCAGCTGGCAACTGGAAAACAGATAGCTGGGGAAAAGGATCTGCAACAAGAGCAGCTGCACGGGTCTGGAACAGCGGATCAGGATCTCAGGATGCTGCACTTCAGTTCCACATCCTGAGGTTCGGGCTTTTTTGGTTTAAGACAAAAAATGAGATAAATTTGGTGCTCCTTTAGTTCACCTGGTGTTGCCAAGCCTCCTGCCTGGGGCTGTGGCTCTGCCTGGACCCAGAACAGACAGAAACAAGCTGGGGATGAGCCAGGTCTGACCCTGCCATGGGTGCTGGGGCTGTCCCAGAAACCAGGGCAGAGCAGCCATGCTCTCTGCTATATCTCAGGGGGACCAAGCACCCGCACACCAGCACAGCCCGCGGGCAGCTCGGGGCTGAGCGCAGTATGACAATGTTTTACACCCGTTCTCGTGGTTAGAATTACTTTTTCTTGTTTCTTTTTTCTTTTTTTTTTTCTTTTTAGTTCTCCTTTGTTTTTTTTTTCTAAGAAAAAGCAACCAGAAAATAATTCAGAGTTTATACAAAACATCTTTACATTATTTCTTCCAAAAAAGACTAGTATTTACACAAACAAAACAAAATAAGACAAAAAAAAAAAAAAAAAGAAACCAACCAAACTTCAATGCTTTCAATGAAAAGAACCGAAGGGACACACTCCATTTCAGGACCCAGCAGACCGAGGTGCTCAGCAAAAACCAAGAGTTCAGATTTCACCCTTTCTTCACATATTTACAAGGTTTCTCAGCTGCCCCCAGCAACAGGAATGGAGGTGATGGGGCTGCTGAGCTGCAGCCCGGCTGGGGACAGCCACTGAGCCGGGTAAGAGCCACCGTCACTTTGCTTTTGGCACAACTGTGGCCAGACTCATTCCCTTCTCCTCCAAAACGAACCAAAACTAAATCATCCCCCAAATACCTCCTCCACACCAGCCACTGCTCCCTCCTGATCCACCACCGCCACTGCCCACATCAGGAACCACAGGTCACCACGCAGCAGATGGGAAAGGGCACCAGTGAGGGAAAGGGGGATTTTCTTTAAGACACAATTTGCTGTGATTTCTGAGGGCAGACCCCACTCCAACAGGGAATGGGGGGGTCCCAGCTGTGGTGGCTCCAGCCCTTCAGCAGCAGCCGAGGGCAGGCAGTGCTGGCATGGATGCAGTGGGGGAGAGGGGCTAAAAGGTGCTACATGGAGGGACCAGGGAGAAGGGCCAGGCCGGGGGGAGCACCCGCTATGGCTCTTCTCTCCCGAGGGCAGTAGCCATTTTAGGGCCCTAGAAGCCATCCTCAGTGCTGGATGCTGAGTGCAGGAGAGCAGGGGCAGCCTGCTCTGCTCCAGCCCAGCCTCCTACCTTTAACAGAACAACCAACAACACAACGCTGCGGGATGCTCCAGTCCCACTCAGGACCGCAGCCAAACCCCCAGCACAGCATCGAGCCACTGGGTTTCCCATCCGCTGCTCTGCCCCTCCTGCCACCCCTGCCCGCTCCTCGTCAAGGCACTTTTGCAGAGCAGCTCTCTCGCTCTATGGGCACTTCCTAACACGGGTTTTGGGGCCCTGGGGACAGGCAAGGACAAACCAGGCCTCGAGCCACCGCAAGCCCGCTGCCCCGGGAGCAGCACCGCCTGCCCCACGCTCACTCCCTGAGCAAAAGCAGCTACTTCTGAAAGGAAAAGAAAGCAAGGAAGGAGAAGGGGGTGGCCGCCAGCCCCCAGGCTGGACAGGCTGCAGACAGGGGGGTGGCTGTGCACCACCTGCCCTGTGTTGCTCGCCAGCATCAGCCACAGAGCTGGCAGGTCCTCCTGGGAAGATGAAGATGGGAATGATTCCACCAGAAGAGCCCAAGGCTCAACCCTTCCAGTTCTGGACAAGAGAGGGGCAAGGCAAGGGCAGAAGGGCAGAGTGAGCAAGGGCTGGTGATGCTCCTGTGTGGGAAGCATGGCAGGCAGGGGCTGGCGCTGCAGGGTCCTGTCCCCAAAGACAGGTCCCACAGAAGGGCACCGGGTTCCCCTGGTAAACCAGGCTGGGGCAGGAGCCATCGGCTCAGCTCCCAGCAAGCCAAGTATGGGGCTACAGCCACCCGTGTTACACCTCCATGGGGCTTCCAGCGCCAAGCACCAGCCTCCTCCTGGCACTCCCAGCCTCCCCAGCACCAGCCGTGGGTCAGGAATGTTTGTTTTCCAGTTTTCCTTTCCAAGAACAGCCACCCACAGCATCACCAGTTGGCGGACAAGACCGGGGGCTGCAGCTACCCCCTGGTCTCCAGCTGCCCCCTACTCTGCTTCCAGCAGGCTCTGCCCCAGCCCGATGGAAACCCTCATCAAAGGCTTTTCTCTGCAGTCGGACACCCTCAGGGCGTTGGGAAGAGCTGCCAGGCCAAGGCTGCTGCTCCGCATGGAACAGGAGGAGCACCCGGACTCTCGCGCACTGAATGCTTGAGACATGGTATAGATATTTTTTTTTTCTTTCTTTCTTTTTATAAAGAGACTAAAACAAGAGTCAACAGCTATGAACACAAAAGTTTAAAAGGGCAGCGCTGGGAGCAGCGGGGTCTGCCCCGCGGACAGTGGGATGGCGTGCTGGAAGGAGGCGATGGCATGTGCCCGAAGGCGGCGGGCCGGAATCCCGCCCGGAATTCACAAAAATAAAAATGTTACAAAAAAATTAAAATAATTATAATAATAATAATAGTAGTAGTAGTAAATCGGGTTTGCCAGCTTCCTCCCTGCACAGTTGTCTGCATCTTGGCACCTAGGCAAAGCATCCTCCTCCTCCCCACACACAGCTGCTTGCTCCTCCTCGGACCGAGGCTCCTCGCCGCGGCCCCGGCGTCGGTCCAGGCTCCGGGACCCGAGCGGCAGCCGCTGCGGCGCCAGGCGCACGGGCACTTCACACAAGGACGTAGAGGGGTGACGCGGGGAAATCCCAAAGCGAAAAAGGGGAGGTGGAGTCTCTGTGTTTGCCCGCGGTGTCCAAGCGAGCACGGAAAGGCACGGCACCCACCCCTGGCCGGCCGCAGTCCTGGAGAAGAAGAGGAGGATGCTGAAGGCTCACCCTCGAGTCTCGGGATTACAAAAGCTGAGAACTACAAAACTAAATACAAAGGGGAGAATTCAGCGCGCGAGTGTGCGAGCGAGCCATCCGCTCTCCAGCGCCGGACCCTGGCGCTCCCCGCGCCGTGCCGTGGGGTTCATTTCGCTTCCTCCCTCCTGGCGCCAGACCGCCCGTGGGGAGACCCTGGGGGCAGCTGCCCCCTGTGCTCGGCGCTCCCGTGCTCCTGCATCGGCGGCTTGCCGAGGCTGCTCCTCACACCTTGTAGTAAATGTTGGCTGGGCTCTGGGGGGGCATCTCCTGGACAATGTAGACGGGGTGCCCGTAGTCCCCGCTCACCTTCTCGTAGTGCGGGCAGTAGTTGTTCTCTGTAGTCCGTAAGGGGATGATGATGTCGCTGGGCTCGGAGCCCGCATTCCCGCTGCATTTCGGGCTGGCCAAGGTGCTGAGGGACAAGGCTGTAGCTCGCTGCTGCGTGTGCTTCCGGTGCCGTTTGCGGATCTTGATCAGGAGGACGACAAGGAAGATGATGATGAGGATGAAGATGACGCAGCCAGCGCCGATTGCCGCAAAGACAGCCACCTTGGAGCTCAAGAAGCCATCGCTGGGACCTTGGGTCTCCTGGCCGTCCTGGTTGACAGATCCTACAAGGCAAGAAGAGAGGGTTGTCAGACCCTGGCAGGCAGCCTGAACCCCATCTCTGTGAGGGGGTCTGTGCTCTGTCCACACACAGACTGCATTGGTGGGGTGAGTGGATGAGCGGTACATCAGAATCCCTCTCCACCCCTCAAACTCAGCACAACAGCTTCCCCCCCACATGCTGCCTGGGGAGGGGAGCAGCTCCCTCACCTCCAAGGGGACAGCAACATCTCCTTACCTTCCCACTCCAGTTAGACCCACCCCTCCCTTTCATCTCAGCCTGCAGGTGCTGGGCAGGGCAGGCAGGAGCCCTGGCTGCTGCAGAGAAGGGACCACATGCCCTCTCCACCACCCCAGAGTGCTGTTTCCCCTTTCCACCTCCCAGCCTATGGAGCAGAGTGCTGCTCAGGTCTGGGTGACCACCAGTCCAGACTCCCTGGGAGCCTTCACTCTGCAACAGACCTTGATGCTCTGGTGAAAGTAGGCTCTGATACCTGGAGCCCCATGATATCCAGTTACTGACCCCCTGCCTCCTCCTGACCCCTGGGCCAGGGCAGCCCCAAGTGCCCCGAGGGGAGAGTGTTTGGCTGGCCATACCGGGTGAGAAGAAAAGAGCAACTCTTCCCTACTTCATCTGATTTCACTTTTCTCTCAGCAGGGTCAGGAACTCAGGAAACCACCTTCAAAAGGCTTTCACACTGGCTCAGCTCAAAAACCCGAGGACCTCACCTCCTCCAAGCCCTCTTGGATGTACTGCAGATGGGCAGCAAGGAGGAGGAGGAGGAGAGTGCTGAAACAGCACTTCCCTGAGAAGCAGCTGCCAGGACATACCAGAGCTGGGAAAACAAACCCAAGCTGCTCCGCACTTGCAGCCTGGCTACCTGCGCTGTGCCCTGAGTGGTCCCTGTCCAGAAGGCTCAGGGCTGAGGCAAGGAGATGCTGTGAGCCACAGGGATGGTAGAGATGGGCACAATGCTTATGGTAAACCCGTTAAGTCCTTGCTCTGGAGCACCTGGCATTCCTGGGATCCATGCTACAAGCCTGGCTCAGAGCTGCCCTGCCGGCAGCAGCTACCTTCCAGCCCTGTGGGTGGGCAGAGCCTCCATCCCTCCCCTGCGTGTCCCTGTCAAAGCTCACCCGGCTTGCCGGGCTCCTCCACCGCGGGGACCTTGCTGCGCGGGCTCTGTGTGACGATCTTCACGGTGTTGTCGGCCTCCTTGCTCGGCCGACTTGTGGTCAGCTGCTCTGGGATCACTGCGTTCGGATCTGGGGAAAAGAGAGGAAGGGACAAATGAGATTCAACCTGGATGGCAGCAGCTCGCTCCTCATTACACAACTGCCCCAACAATCCCAGCCAGCCACCCCCAGAGGCTGAAGGAAGATAACAGGAGCAGTGCGAGATGCTGAGAGCAGCAGAGCAAGGCTGATCTGCTTCAGGGCTCATGGGAAGTAGCTTCCCCACCCTAATCCCCCCCCCCCCCCCCCCCCCCCCAACTTTTGTTTTCTGAGCTCCTATGCGTGGGCTGGGGCAAGTTTCTTGCACGGGCAGCAGGAGGAACAGGAAGGGAAGGCAGCCTGCCAAGGCTGCAGCACTGCTTCTTCTGTTTATTATAAGTATTGGCCCCACAGTGAAAACACAATAATGAAAAGCAGCCATCAGGAGCTGTGCATCTGAATCAGGGGCTGACACAAGCCCAGGGCATCCTAGGGCTGGGAGGCACCCAGCAGCTCAGGATGGAAGGTGCTGGGGAGCTCCCTCCAGGAGAAGAGCACACACCACAGTCCCTCCATCGGTGGTACCCTTGGTGTCCCACTGCCGCCATCAGCCTGCACTGTCCCCACACTGTGGTGGCCAGCACTGCTGAGAGCTGCCAGGACCAGCGCAAGCGCTGATGCATGCCCAACTGGAACCCCCCTCGGGCCCCCAACAGCTCACGTGGACACTGCCTGTGCCACCCCCCCACTGATGCACTTGCATGGTTCATGGGTCCCATGCTGAGCTGGCTTCCCACCACGACACAAACCACGAGGCACCACAGAACAACTACTCCATTTTAATCCCAACACACCAAGCACGTGCAAGTGATGGCAAAAGAAAAAAAAAAAAAAGAGGAGAAAAAAGAGCAAAAAATGAAATTCTGCTGAATTAACCACGGAAGCCTCCCAGGGACCAGCTGGCCCGGCCTCAGCTTCCCCACAATCCAGACCCCTACACACAGTTCAGGGGCCAACATTTTGCTGGGCAAAGGCATTTCGGTGACAGAAGACCTGAGGGTGCAGAGGGACTCACCCTGCCCCACTTTCATGACAATCTTCATGGAGCGTGTTTGGCAGACCCCTCCTTCCCGGTTCTCCAGGCCATCCAGCGTCCCGTTGGAAGTGGCTGCAAGAGAAGAGAGGAAGCGTTAGGCAGGGCTTGTGGAACCTGGAAGGACAACGCTGGGCAGGTCCCCTCTGTCCCCTAGCAGGAGCTCGGCATATTGAGGTTCATTCCTGACCCCTCATTGCGGCCACTTCTTCATGCCTCAGTCTGGCACCCACAGTGTTTAAAACACCGAGTTCTTGTTTTCTACACCTTCTGAAGATGTTTGCAGTGATGAGGATGTGATCCCTCCAGCTTCCCCTCGCTGCCACATCCACACAAGCAAACCATTATCCATGCCTGCACCCTCCTCCCCCTTTAATTCCTGGATAATTTCCTTTGCTCCTCGGTGTATAATAGGAACACATGCATATGCACAGTTTAAATTATACATATATAATTACACACTGAGCCTCAGTAAAGAATGTAAACTCAGAGCCCCAATGGGGTTGAGTGGCTCTAATTGCAGGGCAGAAGTCAGTTAAATTCACATTAACTTTCTACTTTAGCCAGCACAGATTTTTTTAAGCCTTTCAGTCCTGAGGGAGCTCAGGGAGCCGCACATCTCCGGCTGCCACCACACAGGGAGGGACCTGCACACATCCACGTGCCCGCCAGCCCTCTACCATGGCAGGGACAGCTCAGGGCAGGGGGAACATGGGACAAAATTAACCCAAACCAGAGCATGACATCATTAAGCACCTCAGTGACAGCCCCTGCTAAACACACTCAAAGTGGCTTCTAACCCCCAAAGAGCCCTCAAGTGCCCAGGGGTTGCTGTGCCCAGTGGATGGGTGATGCACTGGGTGTAGGGCATACATCCAGCTCTCCCCGAGACCAGGGATGGTCCTCAAGATGGCACCTCTGTCCATCGCAGCAAACACAAATCATCCCAGTGCTCCAAATCCAGGCATGGGGATTTATTCTGCTAGAGAAGCAACAAACCCTGGGAGAGGGATGGTGATGGCATACAGCAGGAGTGGAGCTAAGGAAAGGCGGCACAATAGAGAATCGCGAAGCTACGGGGATAGTTTTACAGAGACAAGGCAGTGAAGCAAAGCAGGATTTGGCCAGCACAGCACAGCTCAATGCCAAAACTCAGCCTCAGGGTTTCAGGTTGCCTGCACAGCCCAATTCCTGCCTCCACCCCACAAAACTCGGGTTTGGGAGGGCGGGTGACTGATGGTCGGTGGGGCTGAATCCATCAGACCCCACTGTGCGTCGGTGAGGAGGTGATGGGCAGAGGCTGAGTTATGGAGCAAGGTCTTTCTTCTGCACTGGCTTTCCCACAGCAAGACCCTTGGAGGAGGACTCAGAGCTGGGCTACGCCAGAAAGCGAGCCTGGATCACGCCGGGATGCAGCTCAAAGTCCATCAGCTCTGTCCAAACGCCTCTGTGCAATCGAGGCTCTCGTGAGAAACACCAGCAAATGTTTTACTAATCAGAAAGTCGCTGGGCCGTTTGCTGAGTTATCACCTCTCCAGCGGCGGGGTTTCGCCTGCCAGCAGCTCCCTGGATGGAGCCGTACATCCACGCATCTGGGATTCACTGCCGGGCGGTTTGACAGGAGCACTGTCAGCACAAATCCCGACGCAAACGCCTGGGAATGTAGAGAAACGCCCCCCTACAGCTCTTCTTAACCTGAATAGGCTCAAACTCCCCACATAAACATCTTAGGGAGCTAACTCCAGCAGAAGGCATAGCAGCCCAGTTCTCCCAGGCCAGAGGTGCTGGTTTGGGATTGAAATAAGCCAATATGTCCCAGCTCATGGCCCTGAAGCAGTTCCATTAACAACTTCCCAGCCCCGTGCCATGGATTGCTCCATCTTGAATAGACTTCAGCCATTGACACTGCAACACAGCGGGCAGGGAAACCAGAGCAGTCTGTAAAACCAGCCTCTGCGAGACCTCGTAAGGTCTCATTTATAATGTAATAACCTAATTATATCAGAATGATCTACAGAGTAAATATGGGTCCAGCATGGGGAACTATGAGATCCTGCAAAGGTAGAGCACGCAGCAGTAACGGAAGACAGCGTTTCCTCCAAAATAACGTTAAACGGAGATGTTGTATTCGGATACAACAAAAACATTAAAGATCCAAACAGGATGGAGGAACGGCAGCTGGAGTCACAGGGACAGGCCAGGGGACACAGCAAAGCAACCTTCCTCCTGTGCCACGTGCAGGACGTTGTTCAAGAAGCCTCCTCTTGTTCTGATCGTCAGGATGATGACAGGAGAAAGCAGCTTCGAAAGGGAACCACATGAAAAAAATGAAGCAGCTGCTTGAAGGAACACCAAAAGGGGCAGGTAAAATGGCAAAACACTTGCAAAACCCATGCCGATAGTCTCCCGTGCAGCCGCTTGAAACAAGGACACACACTACCACACTCTGTACAGATCCAAAACAGGCCAAAGCAAAACAAGATGCTCCACACAGCTGGCTGGGCTTCCAAAAGTCATAATCCCATCCAAATGGCCAAAAGAGTGCAGCTTCTGGCAGGTTTCATACAAACACTCAGGACAGACTGATGTGTTGCTGAGCCAGGGGTCCAGAGGCAAGGAGCAGAGGGCTGCAGCTAGGAGTCCCTGGTGACCCGTGGGCACTGCAAGGCTCAGATTTGGAGAGCTGATCCTCCCACTCCATTTCTTGCTTTCACAGCATTAGATCTACCAGCAGAAGGCCACAGGATCAGGCCTGCACCGCTCCAGCAGAGACGTGTGATCCAGGAGGCACGGGGTGAATAGTGAGACGAAGCCCAAAGCATCTGTGACAGTCACTGCTGTGCTCACGAGGGCAGAGCCATCACCAATCCTCAATGGCTGACGAAATTCAGCGCCAATAAATGCATAGTAACATACAGGAGGAAAAGGTAAATCCACAGGCATACAGCAGCTGCAGGGAGAGGCGAGAAGCAGCCCTGAGCCTGGGGAGAGGTGGCTGCAGGGCAGAAGCACAAGGCAGAGCTATGAAATGATCAACGAAGACAGGCAGGGAGCTGAGGACACCCAGGGGACTAGGAAATGGCAGGTCTCAAACGACAGCCGTGATCTCCACACGCCACATTTACAAGTGCAGCTCCATCACATCAATAAGGCTTGATCCAGGCAGCCCCAGCAACATGGAATGTATCGGAGCATTTTCCTGCCCCCCACTCTCCATTTTGGACTTACAGTTTGACTGTGGGACCAGGAGACCAAAAGCAGCCTCTGGACAAATGACTTCTACTCAGGCTCAAAAGAAAAGGCAGCTCCCAGTCCTGAGAGCTATTAGATGCCTTTGCCTTAATGAAGCATTAAGCCTCAGGCTGCTGAGTGATGAGGATTTAACATTGATACCATTAACCATGTAATTGCTTGTCAATTTAGAAGAGATGCTTGGTCTGCATGGAAGCACCGGCAGGACATCCACTTGCTGGCACAAATCAACCCAGTCCTCAGGCACAAGACCAACAAAACTCCACACCCCAGCCCGGTGACACAGCCCAGCCGGATGGGATGATGCCTCTGTGGGGAGGAGAGCCCCAACAACCCCATGTTTCCTTCCCCAGCAGCAAGCAGAGCCACGTGCTGTCCTCGGCGCATCGCATTCTGCCTCCCTACCGCTAGCACTCAGACTGTCACCGCAGCTTTTCTTCCTTCCCTAAAATATTTCAACTTGAGAACTTGGGCTTTGGCAGATGGGAGGCTCTGGAAGCAATACCTGGCAGCAGATGAAGGCAAGGGTCTCTTAAATGGTCAGCTTTGGACGGAGCAAGATGTTTGGTTTCTCTTCTGGATTCCCTCTAGCAGGACTCTGCTATGATTTGGGCCCCAAAGCACAATTAATGTGCTGAGACTGTAGCGAATCCAAGTCTCTTTCCTTTTATTACTCTTAATTACTCTTCCATCTGTGCACCACAGCCCTGCTCCAGACCCAGCCAGGCGCTGCATGGACGCAGCCCGAGTGCCTGCCTGCGATCTCCCCTTCACCCCCAGACCTGTCCCAGATTCACATTTCCACCACACAGCTCTAGGCAGGGGCAGCAGCACCCTGCTGGCACCCACTGCCACTGCCTGCGAGGGCTTTGGGGTGCCACCCCAGCCTGACCCCCATCCCGGTGGAGCAGACAGGGCGGTGGGAAGGCACACACTGACCCTGCTGAGGTTCAGGGCAGCCTCAGGTAACCCACAGCACAGCCATGGTACCCAACACCAGGCTGGAAGCTCCTGCTGGCACATGTAAAAACCCTACGGGTGGCCCCGAAGATGTGCCTTGCATCTCCAGTGTACTCGGACACCGCCAGCAGATCCCTGCATGAACCCATGAACAGACTCTATTTAAAATAAAATCCTAGCTCATACCACCTTTCCCCTCCTCAAAGTTGTTCAATGCTCCCTCAGTACCACGGTGTGGGTGATGCACTGCTAGGGGTGTTGCATTAGCAGAGGTGCTGCACCAGTGCCCAGCTCCATCACAGGCACCAGGCTCCCTCATCTCCCCATCCCAGCCAGGGCTGGCACCACAGGGACACACAGAGCTGCTGCCAGGTCACCGAGCAGAGGCACCCGCCTGCTCCACTGCACACAAATGCCCTGCAGCTTGGTCACAGCCCCTTCTCCTCCTCCTCCCTCTGCCGCCGCTCACAGCATCACTGTGATTATTAATATTACTATGATTTCCTCGCTGGGCCCCGCTGCAGGGAGCGAGCCCGCGTCCCCCCGCCGCACACATCATCCCAAGCCCTTCCCATTAACTCCAGCACATTCACTGGGTCGGCTGCCAGAGCAAGGGCAAGGGGCTGTGCAGGGGGAGCCGAGCCCCACGCTGTCACGCTGCCAGCGGGGCCAGCAGCAGCCTTCCAGCCCAGAGGCAGCTGCACCGGGAAGGGGCCCTGAAGCCCCAGAAATGTGTGTGCAAGCCAGGCAGCCCCGTCCCGTCCCTGCACGGCCGCAGGAGGTGCAAGGCTTGGGTTTCACACACCCTCCTGGCAGCTTGAGAGCTCCTCCAGCCTCCTGGTCTGTTATAGAAGGAGAAGGAC